AAGGTTTCGAAGGCTCATGGCCAGCGGTTCCATGACAATGCAATAGAAACTCTCTTCCTTGGTTGCTCTTCAGCGGGCCGGTATGGCTTCGAAGTTGCAACGCATGCCACTCGAGCCAACAGTTGCAGAGTCCATGATTCATCGAGGCACGTGCACGAAGGTGTCCAGCAGCCGTACAACGTGTCTCCGTGCCAGCTCGGGGTCGTGCTTCCTCTGCTGGCGCATTGCAGCTGTTGCAATCGGTTGCGGATCGGTGCTACTCCACTTGCTTATTCCAATCGATGAGCACAGCTCTCGAAGATCAATGATATGTAATGCTTCGTTTCAAAGCAGACCGAAGACTGTCGGGAGGCTCAAGGCTTCAGACTGCCCGAACCGCGGGAAGCCACATGGAGCTGTGGTAGCGGCCTCCCCGAATCTCTTAAAGTCTAAATCTCAGACCAAACTTCTGCGTTTCAAAACTGTCTTAGTAGTTGCTTTTGAGCGGCTGCAGCTTCCGGAGCATGGTGACCTCCGTTTCGGCATGCCTCTTGGGAGGTCGGGCATGGCTCTGCAGAAGTGCGACTCTCACTTCGTTCAGCGGATGGTCAGCTTAATAGGAATTCGCATCATAGCCCACGGAAGGGCTACGTCTCAAGTCTCTCTAGCTGCCATGAGCCGCTTCGGACTACAAGATGGACTGCCAGCTCAGCAGGCGCTCTCTGAAGTTTCAAGGGCGGCATTGAGGTGTTCAAGCCCCGTCCTCCTGGTCCGCCTTGAAGGTCTGGACACCTTCCTGACATGCTGAAGTAAACATTTGCCAGCTTGCGCTGGGGAATGCTAACTACACCTTGCGCCCAGACTGAATCCTCGTGCATGCAAGGTTTCGGGTCTCTAGTTGCAGCTTGGTGTCACTGCTACCACGGTGCCTTCGACCTCGTCGCGGCAGCCTCATCGACTGAGAAGTGATCTGTGTCTGTCGCAGCTGACTGAGGCACGGGGACCAGAGTTGCGGCTTCGAGTTTGACGATGTCATCCCACTACTAGCAGCTCATATCGCACAGCAATCATGGTTGTGTCTAACGGCCAGGAGGCGACACATGAAAAGCGCGCTTGCGCCGCAAGCCAATTGCAACCGAGAAATCAACCGAACAGCGGAAGTGAAGTCCTAGTCAAGAAAAATCAAGCAAAGTTAGCATCCTTGAATCATGCAGTTATACACAACATCCGAAGACAGGAAGCGGCAAACAAGTACCTGTCGGACCTGTCGTGCATACTCCGCTTAAGCACCCTGCGGAGGACGCGCCCCGAGGCGCCATCCCCAAGAGCATGCTGGACGATGTAGCGGCCTGGGGGCGTGGATAGGGTTTCGGGCGTTCGGACTGGGGCGGGGGTTATCATTTCAAGGGTCCTCATGACATGCGACGAAGCAGGTGTTCGTCTCGCTAAGAGTAGGGATGCTAGGGCTGAGTCGAGTCGTGGCCAGACGTGTTTGCTCGGCTTACGGAAGCTTGTGACATGGCGTTGCGGAGCAGTGCTGCTCGTTCTCAGTGGACTGGGCACGGTTTCATGCTGGTGCCTTCATCACCCAGCTGCTGTCCAGGCTCAGGCGATATGTGTGGCGGTCCTGCAGCTGGTATTTGGCAGTGCATCGACAGTTATGGGCGGATCTGTCAGTCTTCGAATTTATGCAACGATGCTGGCTTCCTAGACTCCCAGATGACAGATGATGAGAGGAACATTGCCAAGACCTTGATCACCCCGTCACAAACACGAAGGTCCTCCATCCCTGCATCTGGGAGAGCGCCGCCTCCTGTCAGGTGCGAAGCAGCCAAAGGCGAGAGCAGCACATAGTGTGGGATCTGGAAGATCATTTATGGCAAAGGACGCGCTGCCAGGTACTGGGATACCGGACACCGCCTAACCCATGCGGGACGGTTCACAAGCGATTGATTGCCTTTGACCCTCACTGCTCTCACTGCTGCGCCGCCGTCGCCGCCGCCTGGAGGAAATGAAACGTTAGCTCCCAACGGGCGCAGGCAGCAGCTCTGCCAGTCTGCAATCCGCCCTGAAACTAGAGCGCACAGTACAAGTAACTAGAGGCGTCCAACCTGCCAAAGATCGCCATTTGCCATCACAGTCTTGTGCAAGCCCTTTGCCCACTGCACTTGCTGACGCAGCCTCTCCCGTCGACCATTGGAGCCTGGGAAATGGCTCCGAATGATTGAGACGGTCTGGTAGTACTACGCCAGGATCTTCCAGGATGGCCGCGTTTGAAACTCAATATAAAGGAAACGTCAATGGGCACAGAAAGAAGGACACACACACACACGCACAAACCAACAAATAAAGAATCACACGACCGCACAGGTAGTGGAGCAAGTTCTGGGCAAGACTTCGGCAAAGCCAGTACGGGGCAACCTCAACGAGAAGCCTCATGAGTGCATTTGAGGGTGAGCCGACATCTACAAGCCGTTACAAGCCCAGTCCAGCTTCGTCCCCAAGAAGCCAAAGCAGTGGGTGTACCGAACACAGAACGGTTTCAGGTCCAGCCAGTCGGCTCCTCAGCCCGGAAACTGCGGTATCGGGGCGGCTGCCAGCGAATGCAGTCGGCAGGGTTTCGCAACTGTCGGAAATTCAAGCTTGGCGGGGCGGCTTTGGGCCCCTAAGGCCCTGTAAGGGCCCTTGTCTTCCAAAATACCCTGCGCACTTTGGGTGAGATGGGTTGGTCTAAGCAGGAAAGGCACGGTGACGTTGAAGGTGGGTCTGAACTCTCGTGCACTCGTGGCTCTACGCACGCTCTTACTTGACGAAGAGATTTGAGATGATTTGAGCGTGGAATGAGTGGTATCGTCCTTACGACTACTGACTAGTCGCGAGACACTCAGACACCTGCCAAGTGCCATCACTACCCTTATGACTTCCGTGTTGTTTTCATTTTCGGAAGCCAAAAAATTGCCATCGTCGTTGTTGACATCATCCAGTGGGAGTGAGCTTGGTGACCGGTGGCCCCCAGCGGGTATGTCTCATCAAAACAGACACGGAAATGCTTTGTGTCCACGCTTCTGGGCCAGCAATGTTCGCGCCAGACAAATACGGAAAACGAACTCGCCAACACAGAAAGCCGTGACAAGAGCCAAGGAGGAACCCTAACCCTAAACCCTGAAACCAACAAACGTGTCTTTCGTGAGAAGACACTTCCAACCGGATGTTGTGCCAGGCAACGCTCGGGACGATCGGCAGGCCTGGGCTCGGGTTCACCAAAACGCAGGGCTAACCAACGGCAACATGAGTTTTTTTGCCTCCTACTTAGCAAGGAGGGTTTAGGGGTTTAGGGGTTTAGGGTTTTAGGGCTTCGGCGCTCGCACTCGGACAGGCGAGGCATGTGGTTCGAGGTCTGCAACAACGTGAAACATGCATCAAGAACGGCTTTTTTTGACACTCACACTCGGACAAAACCTGGCAAGGTCTGTAGCGATACTGGTCCGACGTTGAAACAAGAGAACTCATAGCAGGTATCACTGAGGTCTGAGTTCTGCGTTGTCAAGCAGGGCATGTCGAGACGACAGAGACACATGTACAACCATAGAAGGAGCCCATCTGACAACAGAACCTCCACAAGGCAACAATGTGAACCCGCACACACCCACCACCTAGTTCGAGCCGCGGATCGGGTGATACAAAAGGTTTGTAGTGTGTTTAGGGCTTAAGCATAGAAATTTCGAACGCCTGCAGAAGATGCCATGTGAGGGAATGCAATTGGGCCGAACTGTACACTTCATAAGTCAAGTAATCACGATTGAAGCTATTGAAATGAACTTGGGGTCTAAGCATCCCGAAGCCCTTAACGCTTCGCTTCCACGTTTGCCGAGATGCTCTTGGCTCCCACTGTCATGGCCTCAGCTGGCGAATTTGCTTTCAGCGTCGCTTGCCGAACTGTGGCTACAAAGGACAAAAGCAGCTCCCAGCTCCTAAGTCGCCTCTGAGTTTAGACACACTCCTCCAACCAGAAACGCTGATCCGATCCGATCCCCATTAGACCCCCACTGCGGTTCCGCCGTCGCTTGTGCCGGCGGCGCTCACCTGGCTCAGTGCCGGTCTCGAGCGCTTCAAACGGGTAGGCCGAGTAATTATGCTTCAGGCTGGAATTCTTTGTGGGCAAGTTGGGCTCAGCACGATCGAGCGTTCAGTATTTCAGTCAAAACCTCCTTTGGGGGCAAACACGGAGGCATGCCAGGTATGCTCGTATACCTCACTGACGCTACTCACCCACCGCCCTCGTACCAAACCAAGACATTTGTAGGATGTGCACAGCTGGCTGCCCATGACATACTGCGAAGCCCCGAGGCGAGACGCAAAATCTACCACGGCCCGGCCCAACGACGCAGAAACTCCACAGCTCCCCAGCAGAGCTCGCACTGACTACATCTCGATCATTCTCAACCATGGCTCGGCCACCGTCCCGATGTCGAGCTTCGGCCATGCGCCGAGCGACGTAAGTTGTTGCTAACACCACTTCCCTTCAACCGAATGCTACATTCAATTCCTACTGTCCAGCACTTCTTTCTGGCTTTTCTGCGGTCCACGAGCACCATGCATGCCCTAGAGCTTGGGCTGGTTGGGCATTGGGCTCGCGATCAATGTTGAGCCCCTTAGGTGAAGATACCATGCATTTGCGGGCTCCGTGTCGCACCCTCGTTTGATTTGACCTGAGGCAGCATTTTTTAAATTTGGGCTTGCATCATCCCGCATGTTGCTGGCTCAGGAGACTAGCGGGAGGCATGAAGCTCACAAGGCTACCCTTAAGAGTTACACTGTGACACTACCTTAAAGACGTTGATGGCACATTTTGTGCAGTGCGGCTGGTCTGGACCTGGGCAGAAAAGCCGCGAGAACATGCATAGATTCTGGCATAGAGACGAGTACCAAGCTCAGACATGCCCTGAGTCCTCTTTTTTCCGGTTCCCGGAACCGGGTTGATTCAGATAAAGAGTTCACAGCGACGCGGATGAGCCCAGCACGCTCCCTGAGCACCAGCATCCAAGGCAGCCCGAATCAAGGGCTTGAGGTGAGGATGGATCGGCCTGAGCAAAGACTCCAGGCCGTAGACGGCCCAACTGTCTTCCCGTGCTTCAAGTTGAGGCTGTGTTGCAACCGCAATGCCACTGGCTGCTAGCTTGCAGTCACCGACCTACATTCCTGCAAGCCCATGCATGAACAAATGCTGCCTCAACATCGACCATCCACTCCAATGAGCTAGACACAGGATGACTCGTGGATCAACCTTCCATTCCAACGATGCAATGATGGGCCCTGAGCTCTGTCCTGGCCTCTTCCGTGCTGGAGGGTTTGCGGTTCCCCGTGCACCCTTTGGAAGTACTGTCTTGGCTGGGGCGCTTGCGCACGCTGCTCTTGGTGCAGGGCATCCTGCATCTCGAGTTCGTGGGCCGGGGTGAGGACTTTCCGGTTTATTCTGGAGAGCCTGTAATTATCAACCGCAGCGCATTTAGAGCGCATCGTTTTCTTTTCGAGATTTAACGTGGATAGAGGTAGATTCAGCGCAGTGCTGATCATGAAATGGCATTTCCAACTCCCCATCTTGCTGCAATGCGATAACTCTTGACAAGCTGCAGCACAAGGAGGACCAGGCACAAAAATCAAGCCGCCTCTGTTTCGCTACCATGTCTTCAAGAGGCCGGTGGTCGACGCCTCTGTACCATGTCGAAGCCAATCCATGTTGCCGGTAGCAAAAGCTGCCACCTTAGCTCATGTGAGGTGCAGAGCCAGGACTGTGCTTGTACTAAGATGCCGGCCAGCACGGCCACGCGCCCACAGTTGAAGATCGCATCCTTTCGGAGACACATGCGTCAAGCGTTTCAGGTCTGGCCAGGAACTGACGACTTCCGACGTCTGGCAATTAAGTGTCGGACCTTGAGGGCGATCTGCTCCTTCAGAAGCAACCGGGCCTCGCTGGTCTCGGTCCTTCAAGCATTCATGGGCAAACATGCCAAAACTGAGGTGCCTTCCACCACCCCCCCAACACAGACAGTCAAACGCAGACTCAGAAACACTGAAACAGTTTCAAGCACACATCGTCGACGCATGGAATTGCCCGACACTGGGCCACCGAGCGCGTGATCTGGGCAGAAAACGACGCACATCAGCCCATGTGGCATTGTTACTCGGTCCGTCCACCTCGGCAGAAAGGCGCCGGCATCACGGCTGTCTGCTCTAAGCTATGTCGGATTGGGACAATGGCACCAAACCTTCGGCAATGCAGGCATCCAGCAGTCAGTCTGATAAGACCCATCTGAAAATCCCTCCTTACGAGCCTGTCTTAAAATTGCATGAGAGCAGTGGCCACACGGGGCCTCCGAGGCAGGATTCTGAGACCAGGGCCAGCGCTTGCCGTTGTGGATCCCAAGTTGGAAGCCTCCGTAGATGCAGGGAGCAACCTGGCGCCAAGATCTGTTGAACCCAGGCTTGGATCTTGCACGTACAGTAGAAGCCCAAAAGTTGGAAACCCAATAGCCTCAATTCTTAAGACTAATGTACAGGGAATCCCATCACTATTTGTACTTAATCCGGTTTGCAACTTTTTCGGGGTTTACTACAGGTAATAGACACTCTCGGGCTGTCTTTCTGTTGAGGATTTGCGCCAGTCTCCGAGGCTGCAGCGTTGTCTGGATGGCCTTCTATGTTGGTCGCCTGAATCGGGCAGCGGGTGGAGGATGAAGCAGAATCTAGATCAGTATCTTAGCATCATGGGCCGTAGCTCCACAAAGAACAAGAAATTGGGGCGGCTCACAGGGCTTCGCAAACCCGCGCTGCGACTTCTACTTGGTACCAGGCGATCTGTAAAAGCTCCTCCTCGTTTTTCACCTGCGTGGCGACTGCATCAAAGCTTGAAGCTTTTGGCAAGTCGTTCACATCTCTATGCACAAGCTTTAGCTTGCCCTGATGAGGTTAGACTTAGTCTCCTAGGTCTAGGCTGAGTGCTCGCAGCACCCACCGGAAAGCAAACAAGATCGGTGGCTGTTTTTTCGAAGCGAAGAGGTTGCAGCTGTGCCTTTGCCCAGGGTACAGTATGCATCTGCTCAACATGACGTGGCAGCTGCATGTGGCTGTCGGAGAGGCGCCTGAGGCATTCTTCGAACATGTCAAACCTGAGCGTTCCATGTAAGAGCAGCTGTCAAGAGCACGACCCTCTTTGCCCACATGCTGCCATTCAGAGGGTGGTCGGATGTCCCGGCCACCCTCTCCTGGAAGTCTGGGAAGCGAGATCGGAGGCGGCCTGGAGACCTTCTCCAGCCCAGCTTCAAAAGTTCGGATCACTCAGCAGAGATCGGCTCACACTGTAGGGTGGAGGCCTGAGAGGCCGTAAGCTGCGAGGAGCAACAGTAGCAAAGCGTTCTGCAAGGTCCTTCTTTCTGTGTCGCGAATTCGAGAAACCTGGAAAGCCCAGCGCAGCAATACACAACAGATGTGGTTGCCATTGATCTACCGCAGCACCCCAGACCTTCAGTCCGAAACATGTGGCATGCGAATAAAACCCACATGCCGCGAGAGGCGAAAGCAGCGAAGCCAAGCACGCCGGCCCCTGCAGCCACCGAAAGCACCTGCGTGACGGGTTGCTTCCAAGTGTCATCACTCGAAACATCCCTGGCACAATTGCTACAGTAGTTGCCTTACTTTTAGACGGCCATGTTATCTGTTCCTCCATCCTTTTTGCAACGGAGGCCAGAGGCCATCTGAATAGTGTGATGACTCGGAGACCCCATATAATTCCATGTGAAATGCGAAGGGGCCAGATTACATGCTGCAAAAAAGCTTGCTGTACATGACGCCCGGTTCCGACATGAAGTTTGCGTGAGGTCGACAGTCTACAGCATGAGGATCGAGATTTGAGGGTGAAAAGCTGTATCGTATGGGCAAAGCTGAAGCGGAAGGTGGGGACTGGGATCTCGAGATCATCGGCGCCGGTGACTGTGGCACTTCGATTTCGGACCCAGACAGGCAGCCCGCTTTTGCGGCCAGGTTGCCCTTCAGCTCCCTTCGTGTTCGACACTTAAGGGAGTTCCATGATCTTCCCCATGGTTCACACTGCGACATCTACCGCTTCTTGGACCGAAGATCTGGAGCTGAAGATACGGCCAAGCTACGCTTGGCCAGCCGAACTTGGAGTCGAGCAAGGCGCCCACTATCCTCGGTGTCATTTCTCTTTCATGGAACTAATCTAATCTCTAATGCATCACCACCATGGCCATGTCACAGTAGTCTCACCACCAGAACAAGCAATGCTGTCGCTTGGGGATTCACGTCCGGAGCCAAGCTGCATATTTCCAACAGCCCCAGAGAACGAGGCGGAGAGAGTAACGAAGCCAGCCTTGAGGGAAGGTCTCGGTTTCCAGCTTGCAGAGCCCTAAGGCTGTGAAGCAGTCATAAGCAGTCGAATAAGGCCTGAAGGACCAAACTGAACAAAGTAGCAGGTGTACAAGGCAAGAACTCTTGGGACCCCGGAACACCCAAACCTGGGTCCAAAATCATGCGGCAAAGGCGATGCTGAGAGACAGTACAAGATCCAGAATGGTCGGGCAACATAGACTCTTTGCGATCTCGGCGTCTGGCACTTTGATTCAGCGGGTGACGTTGCATTGGGGATTTCTAAAATATCATGGAGACCTTTTGGCTCGGCTCTCAAACTAAGGATCCTGCTGCAGAGGTGTGTACCATAGTCCACCATGTTCTGAAACTGCTGTCATATTACGCGACCTGAAGTTGACCGTACAAAAGTCATGCAAGTCTGCGCCGAGCGGCCACCCTCGCGGTGTTCGACAATCCCCCAACATCCACGATGTTAGAGCTATGGCCTTCGGAGATTCATCGGCGGGCTTTGAAATCAACAACTGAACTGCGTCGTCTTTGGCACCGCTGCCAACACTGGTCACTACTCAAGGTCACGCAGTATTGATATCAACTTTCGACACAGTTGTATCCCAAAGCGCATGCTCGAATTGTCGCTCGTACAGGAAGCTTCCAAAGCGACGCTTGCACTCTTACGATGTCACTCTTGAACTGCTCTCCAATACGAGCGGCAATTACTGACGCTACAAGTAGATACAAGTAGCAGCACTAGCTTCGTAGCTGAATGTCCCCACGATGCTCAAAAACCAGCCAACCCCAGCAAGGACCGTCCTGTCGAGGACAAGCTTTCCTGTTCAATTGCGCCTTGCTTGACTCGAGACTCATTTATGTTAAGGTTCCTGCAGTTGCGTAGAAGTTTCGCTATATGTCCCAAAACCAGAAAAGTCGGCCGCCTGAACCTTTTGCTGCGACGAGGACCACCGTAAGAACAACCAGAGCGACAGACAGCTCCGTGGGCGAGCGCAGGTACAGCCTGTGCAGCTGACGCAGCGCTCTGGATTCCTTCCTTTTGCAGAATGTGTACTGCTCGAGTTCAAACTGAATTTCTAGCTGCTCTAGCATTTCAGTTTTCATAGTCATAGTGCTAGTATGCGTTGTGCGTAAAGCAGTAACCAGCAGTGGTAGGACCAGGGGCAGCCGGAGCGGCAGTCCTTGTGGCGTCGTCAACGGCAGCAGCAGAACAATAAACGACAAAAGCAGAAGCTTGGCAGCAGCGGCGGTGCTGGTGGTTGTGGCGGTTGCGGCAGGGAGGCAGTCCTTCTTGATAACAGCTGCAGCAGCATCAGCAGCAGGACATAGCACATCATCAACCTGAACCTGCTAGCCTCTGCCCTACAGGATCAAGGTGCCTAGCAACACTCAGAGGGCCATATTGTGTGACGACCTTCTCATGTATCCATTGGGCCAGTGTGCGAAGTCTTCAAAAGTCCCCTAAACAGGCATTCAAGTCCGGGGAGACAGAGAGTCGCAGGACAAGCAAGGCGATGACATCCGCTTTGGGCACAACACAGGCACCACATCACTGGTGGATAAAGCTTCGTGGGAACTCTTTGACGCCGAGACAGCACGGCGGGGAAGAGCTCCATAAAGCCAACAAGAGCGACTCCCTTGACAGGCCGGCCAGGACAACCCAGATGCAGTAGCAAAATCTCTTCGAGGGCTTGCACGGGGATCTTGGTCAGAAGGAACTCCAAAGTGAACGCAGAGCTGAGTGTGCCTTCCAGCCACGTGCTCGCTCTGTCAATGACAAAGCTGAACTTCCAGGTGCCGTGCACAGCTAAATGGCAGTCGCTTCGACTGGAAACTAGGGCGATGAAACGACGCAACGTGTTAGAGCTGAGCTGTGGTCTCTGGTTGTCCCTGCAGCTCAGCCAGAGGAGCTGCTTGGCATGGGGCCATGCTGAAGCAGCGGCATGGCAGTTGCACCCTCTCATGATCTTGAAGACAAGGCATGCTTGATTTCTGTCGATGGCAAGGATTCTCTGCCCTTCTTATTGACAATTCTTGCCGACAGATCAAGCGATCCATGCTTCAGTCGCACAGAATGAGTATGCGGCGGCGGAAGCAGCACACTCCGACGCACTTGCACTGCTATGAATCTAAAGTATTGGAAAATACGTATCGCAAAGATCCTTCGTCTACCCAGCACCTATGCAAAACGGAACAGAGCTCGCTTTTTGGTTATTTGCGTGACTGAGTGTCTGTAACTTCATTGCAGACCAGCAGCGCGAGAAGTAGCAGTGCAGGCACACCAGACATCAGGCAAGCCACCTCAAGAGCCATCAACGTTAAAACGCGCTAAACTTCTTGTTGCAGATTGCTTTTCTCCCTTCAGCTCTTGACAGAACCGGCATACATGCAAGAACGCAAGGTCTATTTACTTGCTTAAATAAAACACCCGTCCAAACGGGTGACCGGTCAACGAGTTGCCGAGGAGCTTTCCAAAGCTTGGTCTTGCAGACTTGCTTCTCGCTCAAGTGACATGTGGCTGTACAAAAAGCGGCAGGGTGCACAACTGCTTGCATGATCAGAACAAGGACAGCATCAAAAGCGTTGCAAGCGATCACATCGCTGATGCGTCTGGGTCACGGCTTCCATATAGAGGCGGCATTGGCGCAACCTGGACATGAGTAGGACCGAAACTTCATGTATGCAATTAGGCCAGAACACTGCCCTGTCTTTGACATGCTGAGCCCTGCCAGTGACCAACATCCGGCCAACACTCCACCTCCCTTTCGTGCGAAAGCTGCTAAAGACTCACAAACGCCCTGCAGCTCTAAGCACCAGGCGTCCAGCGGCCACTTTTTAAGCCTCGGGTTTGCCGGAAATGCGAGCTCGATTTTGGGCCGGACCCGCGACCTGCTTCAAACCTTCATGTGTATGGGACGCAGACTACGTCGGGTGCACTAGAGCCAGTTCACCTTAGCACGACCAAACCCAAGCGAAATACCATCTCTAACTATCTACCTACCGTTTTTCATTCCGCATAATAATATGTAGTAGGATATATGATACGATATCAAATATCACATATCATGTGATGTAGAGAAATGGCATAGAGTAGAATGGAAAAGAACAGACTTGAATAGAATAGGCCAGACCATCTGTCATTCATCGTAGAGTAGAGTAGAATTCATACCACACCCTTTTTTACACAGGCTTGATTGGAGCTCGCCCGGCCAGGTTCCCCGCAGCACATCGCACTCGCGGCGACACCCTTTTGCAGCAGTAGCCTATACCCTAAACCCTAAGCCCTTTTTGAACCCAGACTCTGCCAATCAGCCTAAAACCAAACTCCATGTTGTCAAGGAAGCTTTGGAGGTCCCTTCAGGGCCTGACTGTTGTCTTAGGTACCTGTGGAAAGCAAAGCCACTCGTGGCACAGCTTCTGGCACGATAGGGGGCGTGAGCCCCCACCCCTCTTGCCGTACCTGTACTTTCTTGAGTATGTGTACGGCG